CCATTTTCTTTTTCGCCACCACCCTCAAAAATGACAAAAAAAAAAAAAAAAAAAATGCAGCGTTAAAAATTCTGTTGTTTATTTTTCCCCCTTTCACAATTTCTTTTTCCAGGGGGAAAAAAAATCCTCGACAGGCACACACAAAGCAGGTTGTTTCTCACGACCGGTGTGACATCTTGGTTAAAAGTGACACGACCACGTCACACTCCGACAGGTTCAGTGTTAGGACCTGACAGATACCAACCCACAGTAACAACCTCCCTGCCACGGACAGTTAAGTCCACGTTAAAACTTTGATTTGATAGTCTCTTGATTAGCTTTCGCCACAGCGAGCACCACCTGCCTTTCGAGTTCATTGTAAATTATGTTGCTCTCCACATTACTGTCAGCTTAGGCTCCCATTTTCCCAGAATGCAGGGCACTTTAACCACTTGTAAAACCCACGCACAGTTTTTGGAGTTAAAGCATTAGGCCAATCCAAAGTCCCGTTCTCAAGGAGGAGGTTCCATCATTTATCAGGCCATGTCTACACTGGCTGAGCAAAGCGCTCTGTTAAGAAGGAGAAGCGCCTTTGGCAGCTAGAGTCCACATAGCTGACCCACGAAGGCTGGGGCGAAGCTTCGGCACCTGATTACACGGGGCAATGAGATCACTCAGCGTTTGATGACAATGACCCACGATGACAAAAAGCATGTCGTGTCATTGCTCTCATTTATTTGCATGATAGGCATTGCGAAAGTAATTCAAAGAAGCTATAAGGAGAAGGCATACGCTTGGCAGACAGGATGGGTATGAGTATTAAAATAATTAACTACTCAACATTTGGTTTAAGCGGAACCATGCTTCCTAACCACACAGTGGTGGCACAATTTTAAAAAGCGGTCCTTTTCCCTAACTGGTCTAGACTGAGCTCATAAGGCTAATCATATTTATGAAGAGAAATCTTCAGAGTTCAAATTATTGAAAAGATGACTTTGACCTCAAGAAAAGAAAGGGTCAAAAGACAATCTACATTCTGGAGGAAATATTTACAGTCCTCTGACTTAACACGGTTAAGCACCAACTATGGGTGGATTCTATTCTGCACAGAGTACAGTGCCCTCCAATCACCCTGAATGTAGAGATTCTTTCAACTAATTTTTAGAATAAAAAGAGGTTTAGCAGAAATGTTCTACTAATAGCTATGAAATTATAGGTTTCCCCTTCCATCCACCCAAACATAGTCTACCCGGTAAAATAACAGATACAACACTAATCACCTTTGGAATTTTGCCAGCCTTCCTCATTGGTGAGTTGGCAGAATGGGACCAAACTGCCTTGAAGGAATAAAGCCCATCTGACCCAAAGTGAATGCCCTCAAAGGGTTTCCAGAGAATCCAATCCCGTTCTTAGACTAAAGCAGAAATGAAGATATAAATGTGTGGGAAGCTATCAGAATTGTTACCTGCTGGATGCATTTACTTCTACTAATATCATCCTATGGTAAATTAAGGCAAACTCCACCCGCTTGGTTTCCTAACCACTCGGACTCTGCAGCCAGGAGTATCTTACATTTCTTGCCACTTCCGGCTTCAGATTGTCGAGGTGAGTTTTCAGCTTCTCGATTTCAGTTTTAATCATGCAATTGATATACTGAATCGTTTTTGGCTGGGTGGAGAACCTCAACTTCGAACACTGTCATAGTGGTGATTAATTTTTAATTTACCACTCAAATCATAAAACAAAAGAATTCTAGGTGGTCTAAGAACTGCCTTATTTAAAAAAAGTTCATCGGAGTTGATTCACATCTTCTTTTCCCACACCAAATCCCTGACAAGTTCTAAACCCACAAAAGCACTGTCAGTTTCTTTGCCACCTGCTTTAAGTACTTCACGAGGATGGCGACGGAAATGAAGATGGTAAGACAGCAGATGCCCTACCAACCATGTGCCAGGCACTGTTCCAAATCTTTGTATCCATTCATTTTATCCCGCAGCAACCCTACAGGATAGGAGCCATTACCCTCATTTTACAGATGAGGAAACAGTAGCGCAGAGACAGCAAGTGACTTGCCCTGGGCCACTTAGCTAGTGAGAAGGAGGGCTGCGATTTACATGTAGGCAATCTGGCTGGCTCCAGCATCTGTGTTCTTACATTGCATGGCAGTGTGCTTGCCTGAGCCCTGGGTGGTGTGTGTGTGTGTGTGTGTGTGTGTGTGTGTGTGTGTGCGTGCGTGTGTGCACGGCGGATATATCATGATGCACAGAGACTTGAGTGGAAATGTGGTTTCTTCACCTTGGTTGTCTCCTTCCACTCTGAGTGAAGTAAATACGCCTGGAATGGAACTTTATGGACTACTGCGACCCCCAGGCTGCCTTATTTAATTCTCATTGGGAGATGTCTTTTTCCATATTGAACAAGAGCCCTCTTCTTTTGGAAATAGTTAGGTACACTTTGGAAACAAAATATATTTTCCCTGGCCATCATTTTGGGCTACCAATTACACGTTTAAAACTGAAATTTTAAGATGCTCATGGATGTGGAAAACATCAAATAAGAAAATAACAACAAAAATAAAAATGATCACATAGGACCTCTGAGAAGAGCATGTATCTAAATGTATCTTAATGGAAGCTTTCTCAAGTTAGGCAAGTTATTTTGGTTTTTCTCATCTATAAAACGGAAATAAAAATAATCCTACTGCTTAGAGTCGTGAGGATTAAATGAATGAATTCACGCAAAATGTTTAGACCAGTGCATGGCACAGAGAGAGCCCTTGATAAATACACACTGCTGTTGTTATCACATTTAGTTTGGTAAACGAGCAGCCAGCTAGAGCTAAGCACAGATAATAATACAAGGGTGTCATTTTGGGATGAAAGCGTTTAGCAGGAATTTGGGAAAAATCATTTGTGGTTCCAAGATATCTGTCCAATACAGAGACAAGTTGGCTTTAAAAATTTCTTGACACACAGCTTCACTATTGATTTTATACTTCCTCAGTTTTTGAGAACACAGGCAAAACACAGAATGTGACAGAAACACCCTAAAAGTCATCAGAGCTTACAACAGTGCCACATACTCACCTAGCAAGCTAGCAAGGAGCCGTTTCTGTAAGGTAAGGTTTTCTGTAATATAAAGGATTTCTGGCTTGTTTTTTATATTACAGTTTGCATTTCTACAACTTCAATTGACCTGTATAGCAGTGATTTAATATTAACAACTGTGAGTCAATGGCTGGAAAATAATTCGGACTTTGTGCTGTGTGCTTAGCCCCTTGCCCCTTTCCCCTCTCAAGGTTCTAAATGCTTGGGCTTTTGCTTTAGTCTCCCCTCTTTGAGACCACATGGGTGACTTAGAAATGGCTGCTTAGGAACCTAAAATAGAAATTTCCATCCCAAAGGCGAGTAATGCAAGGACTAGAAGAAAATGACTGGCTAGATGCCCGCTTGCGTGGAGCTATTTGGTAAGTGCTGTCCACAGAAAATGGAATGGGCTGAAACTTTTTCTTCTTCAGTTCTAAAATGGGCGCCCACAACAGAGAGTGTGAAAAGCCCAGGGGCTCAGCAGGACAGGCACAGAGAAGCTATTCTAGGCCAGTCTCCCAGGATGCACTGATGGGCACTTCTGCGGAGTGGGTGCCACAGGACCGGAGAACAACTTGGTGATCCAGGGGAGGCTGGCAGTGAGAGGCCTGTGCTTCATTTCCCAGTACATCATAGACCAGACCTTCTCGAACAATCTGGAGGGAAGTGAACTCTTTATCAAACGTCACCTTGGTCAAGGGTTTGAATGTTCAATAAATGAGTCTGTGTGCAGCCTCATGGGGGATAAAGGGAGTGTAAGGATTTGATTTTAATCCTCGTGGTTCTGAAATGAGAGCCTAGCAGCCTCAGCCTCTAATTCTCCAGATAAGGATGCACGTTCAGAAGACAGTCACCTGCCAACAGTGTCATCGAGGGTAGGACGGGTCTAGGATTGGAATTGTGGAACATAGAAGGTATAAGAAAAAAATGAAATTCCCTGATAGTTATTCAATTGTTAGGAGGAAAATGGAAAGGTCAGGAAAGCACAGAGAGATCTGATATTCAACTGTGAATTGTCTACATGGCCCAGGAGGCTGAGAGAGGCCGAGATGCTACACAGGAGATTAGACACCCAAGAGGACATAGAGAATAAGCACTGGGAGGACCTAAACAAGCCATCTGGCTTCTTACCTGTGATGATGTTCAAGCTTGTTAATTACCTTCATTTTTCTCTTTTCTTTTTTGGGGGTGGGGTCGGGGGAGAGTTACTCAGGATTGAACCCAAACCCTTCAAACAAAGCCGTATCTACAGTCATTTTTAGCTTTTTAAAATTTTAAACAGAGTTTCACTAAGGTGCTAAGTTTTCCAGGAAGGATTCAAATATGCAGTCCTCCTGCCTCAGCCTCCCAGAGTGCTGAGATTACACACATGAACCGGGCATCTGGCTATTACCTTCATTATTATGTTTAGAAACATCCCCAGCTGCTGCTGACACTGTGGTCACTTCAGCATTCCCCTCCCCCTGCCTGCATTCTCCACCACCTCTCTGCGTTCCCAGGCCATCGAAAGTGTCGTTCAGATGTTCTTACCAAAATACACAGCTCTTACTCTCTGTGGCACTTTCATGTGTTTGTCATAGTCACGCATTTGGGCTTCATTGAAGGCTCTCTGAATTCTTTAACTCGTGTTATTTTTTTAAAGGGTTTTATTTATGTCAGGTCTCATACCAATTCCAAGAGTAAGCACCAGGCATCAAATAGAAAGCTAAAAAAATAATAAAAAATAATGAATAAGAAAACCAAAAGTTGGAAAAGAAAGAGCCAATCAACCCATCACTCCACAGACCTGCTGTCATTTCTCATTATCCTTTTTTTCCCTTATAATTCAAAATTATAATACAAAAATTTATAATTTATAATTCAAAATTATCATACAAAAATTAATACAAAAATTCAACCCAGGTGATTTGGTTCTTAACAAAATGAGTGCGAATTCACTCTGATCATACATTTTAATGAGACAACACTTCAGAGCCTCTCAGACATTCCAAATGCAAAACTGATCGTTTTTTCTGTGGCGAAACTGGAAATTCTCTTTCTTGGAAAACCATGATTGCTTCACCTCTGCTGTTCTTCACTTCATGAGACCCTTTGCACATCAGCGAGGCCAGAGGAGAGGGAACTGGAGGCTGGAGCTTGCTGTCTCCCCACCTCCGACACCAATGCTGTGCATGCCTCAGCGCCTTTTTCCTTGCAAGTGTTTTGATTTCCCAGAATTCCTAACCTGACACCCAGGCTGATCTCCCTATTACCTGGGATTGTTCTGAAGGATGCTTATCCCAGAATGGTGCCAGAATTCCTTTCGGTGCTTTCTCTCGAAGTTAGTAAGTGGTTGTGTCACACTTAAAGGACAATTGTTTCTGGGGCACTCTCATTCTATTCTTTGAAGGCAGACATCACATTAAAAATTATTTCTCCCAGTCTTCTCCTGTTCACTGTATCCCCAGTGTAATCGACATGTCAGAAATAATTATAAGTGGCTTAATAAATACAGGAGAACCTTCTATTTACTATTCCAGAACAGAGACACGGTTGCTTTGTTTTCAGCTTCATTCCGGTTGGAACTTGCGTTCAGCCTCAGCAACACTCATGAGGAAGTACAGGCCTGCCTTGATGTCTCAGATTTCTCTGGGGCCTCTCTCTACCTCCTTAGCACTCTGTGCCCCTCTACTGCCAATGGCAAAGGCTCACTTTCCTCAGAGCCATCATCCCTCACCTCCCAATGCCACTTTGCATGCGAGCATGATCCAGGCAGTGACTTTCCTGTGTCACTCATTAACATCGAGACGGTCTGTTTAAAAACAGGTTTCTGATCACGGTGGAGAAGGGGAGGAAAAAAGCAAGAGGTGACCCTAAAGCTCTGTGTTCCCAGTTATTTCTTATTTCACGCTCTACGCGAAGAATGGGCACTGCCTGTTCTTTTCAGCGAAGGCAGAAAATCTATTTTGAATCCAAGGTAAAGGGAGAAGACCCATATCTATATTTCCTTTCAAAGCTGGCTATTCTCCTAAGTGGTAAAAAGCTACTACAAAGGGCCCTACTCTATCATGGTCTTGGGTGCATTGTAAGATAAATAAAGCTGTCCTTCTACAAAATGATGCATCCTGTGCACCCCTCTCTAGACAGATGGGATGCACAGTGATATTAGGGACTTTATTCCACTCAATGATGAGCAGGATCGCAACAGGTTTGCTGAATGTCTGGCTTCTCAGTCAATGTTACATCCTCCGCCAAGCTTTAGGGGCAGAAAACATTCAAGGTGAATTCCCAGGTGAAGAAGCCCAGGGCTGGCAGTAACCACCTGGCACAAATTCTGAGAGATGAGCTTCCCAGATAGCTACGTCTTGATGGGGAAAGTTCTCAACTCAAGCAGATGGAAGTGTTTCTTCTCTGCTGCGTATTAACTAGGTGGCTTCTCAAAACCCTTTCTGCTGCCCAAGGCTTACTCTGTAAAATAGTGGTAATAATACCTTGTGTGGCTTCTATAATAAATCAGATAATTTATATGACAGTGGAAACATTGGTTTATAATAAAGCAACACACAGATGCTCAATATTCTTTATCTTAAGTGAGGAACCTTAGTTCCTCACTAATGAGCAAGTCAGTCAAGGCTATAGACAGAACCCTGGGCAAAAATCTCACTATAGAATATAGAAATATTAATTTAACATTAAGACTAGAACCTTCTTCCATAGACGTAGTACCATGAGTAAAACTTAATCTTATGTATATATCACATATACAGGTAACCAATTTCCAGTGGATGGCTCTGCAGGAAAACTCAGCGCTAAGTACTGAATAGACATAAGTTATCACCTCTTTCTATGTAGCATATATTTCATTGTCTTACAGCACCTAGGGGTCACAATTATGATTATTGGGGGCTACTTTACTAGAGGGACGGATGGAGTCCAAATGACTCTATGACATAACTAAGAATAAATTTCTGGAATGAATCCTTGCTCTCCACTTTTAATACTGCCGTGGATCTCTATTTCAAAAGCCGTAGCATGACCTCAGTGATTTTCAGTTATCTGACCCAGCCTCTTTGTGATTTGTATTCCGTATAAGTGGTATTAATGGCAGCACCCATTTCCACCTTGTAACATCTCATCAAGCAGGAGGCCCGCACACTGTGGCTTTGGGGTGTTACTGTTCCTGCAGGCAGAGACTGCAGGGATGTGAAACAGAGGAAATAATAAGCTCTATGCTGACTAATTGATGAAACTGTCAGAAAGATGAAGTGAATTAACAGCTGAGCAGGGTTGGGTGAGTTTGATAGCACGAGACAGGCATAAGGTATTATCATTATTATTACTATTAATAATCTTACCCGGTTTACAGTGGATGAGTTATATATAGCTGGAAAGAGAAGAGTTCTTTTCCAAATGATGATACATTTGCTCCTCCATCACCCAATTCTTGCTCTCTCAGCTTATCTCGCCGCCAGCATGAGTGACATGTGTAGTCTGCCCCTATTTTCGTCTGTTTTTGTCAGTTTGACATAGTTGAAATGGATGGGAAGATCTTGCAGCGGATAAAGTGGCTGCAAGCAAAATCTGAAATTTTAAAAATAGCTGTCTCTGAATAGTAAGACTGAAAAGTGTCTGCATACAGGAAGGTAAAGATGTTCTTTGTTAATGTGGCTAAAAACATGTAGCAATTATTGTAGGATGGCAGAGTAGGCTGAACGCGCGGCATCCACACACTGCCTCCGTTCAGATGCCTTTGTCACAAAAGGCAGACACATGTCACGGTGATCTCCACTTGTGTAGCTCAGCCACCTGAACTGTCTTCTTGAAACAAACAAATCTGTGTATGTGTGTGTGGGGAGGTGGGCATGACCCCTTATGTTTGTGTGATTACACATACACAGCTACAAAGAATATATCACTGTAAGACGTGAGGTTATATTTACCAGAATGCTACCACACTGGACAATAACTATTGGTGAATCACTTAAAAGTAAAACTAGATTTGTAAGAGCAGATATTCATTTTTCCACCATGGGGGGGGCAAGACTCATTTTAGTTCTTTATTAAACCAATGTAAGCATCTTTAGAACATTGCTATAAACACAGTACAATCCACAGTGCTAAATAGGAGAAGCGTAAGATGGCCCATAAAGAACAGTATATTTATAAGTAGAATGAGGGATGTTTACATACGCTAGCATGGAATAATTGTATTCCATATATTAAACGAGAAAGCAACTTGTGGAGCATTAGGCATAACATGGTCTCATTTACGCTTTGCGCAAATACAGATGAAAATATTCACTGAAAAAAAAAAGGGAAACGCACACACACACAAAAAACAATCCATTAAGAATTGTTCATTCTAGTAAAGGAAGTGAACTTGGGAAGAAAAGGGCAGGAGGTAGGAAGGGGCTTCTTTCCTAATAATTAAATTTCCTTATGTCTACCATTAATTTATAATTAATTTTTAAAGAACTGAAAAACTAAAGGTGTAAATAGGGATCAAAATGTATAATTGAGTGCTCGCTTCAGCAGCACACATACTAAAAATGCATAATTGATAATGTGTACTAGGAAGAAAAGGTCTAAAAGTGTTGGGGAAATGGGAGGGGAAGAAGAAAGGGTAGAAGGGAAAAGAAAAAATAAGAGAAAAGGAAAAAAAATGGAAACAAAGTTTTTGTAAATAGGGAAGGGTGGAGGGGGTGAAGGGAGGGCAGGGGAATGGGAAATAAATAAGAACCAAGGTACATCGTGTAAAGGTACAAGATCCCAATGATGAATGTAACTGTATCTTCTACCTAAAAAATACCAATAAAACTTTTTTTAAAAAATGAAAGAAGAATGAACCAGAGCACCTGTAAGCAGGAGCACTGAATGGAACTCAATTCTTCTGTAATCAAGTGCATGGCTCTCTCTGTTGGTCACACGGTTCTGTAAAGTAAGTATTTTTTAACTGACGGAAATAGCACCTTTTCTGGCACATGGCCACTTACCCTTCGCAAGTACTTCCACAGCTCTGCCCAGGACACTATGCCCATGTAAACCCCAAATCTAGGGAGTTGAAAATACCAGTGAATACATCTCACCCTCAGCCCACACCCACAGCACAGGATAGGATTGCCCTTCTCCTTATTAACTGTACACATCAAAGCACTAGAGATAAAAATCATACTCTACTCCTTAAAAACCTACCCATACAAACTTCAAATATGCATAAAAATGCATAAAACTTCATAATCTTTAAATAATTCAAGTGTTTGTCTTTGCGAGAACACCAGATTTTACTTGTGAGCTAAGTAAGCAGTCCTTGTTTTCATGGAGATAAAAATCAAAGCAAGATAATTACTAACGGAAATAATGAGTTAATGGTAGAGTCAGCAAATACCATGAGGGAACCAAACTCATGTCTGTCTGTCTGTGTGAATCAAGTTTTATGGGAACAGGATCACACTCACTTGTTTATGGATTGTCTGTTGTTGCTTTTCAGCAACAGCAAAGAGAAGGATATCCCCAACAGAGACCACATTGCCTCTGAAAGCTCAAATATTCACTGAACTGGTTTAGTACAGAAAAAGTTTGCTAATCCCCAATGTGCGTATGCAAATCGGACCATTCAGATGTATCTGTGTGTGTATTCTTATTTAGGTGTGTTTAAGGGAGGCATCTTTCTGTTAAGAAGCAATTCTAAGAGTATTCCTTAAGGCACATGTTTGTTCCCTCTTTCTAATACTGGGAGGAACAAAAAGAGATAGTGAATAAACAGTATTGTCAAAACTGGGTAGAGGGAAAATAAATTGGAGTAGCTTAGCAAATAATATTTGCTAATAATAGCAAATAATATTTGCTAATGTTTTTAAATCTGAACTCTGTCAATTCATTTGGGTTCATGTTTGGCAAAGACCCAATTCTTGTGTTGGGTGTGCAAAAAAATAAAATAAAATAAAATAAAAAGGTCAGAACTGATTGAGGCAAAGATAGTGGGTCTTATTTCAACAATCTTTAAAAGTGTTTGTAATATTGTGAGCATTTCCCAAATTTCTGAATGTCTCAACTTTCTCCTGAAAAGAATATGGCCAAAACATTAAAAACTGCTTAAGCTAAATTTTTGCAAAACATTTGCATGGATGGGGTAATGCAGCATCCTGCCAAAGATACTCTGATTTAATTCTGCTTGGCAAGTCGGCTGGGCTTGTTTGGCATTTCATTAACAGAAAATAAACCTCACTTTTCTTCCTGCGAAAATAGCATGTGTAATATTTTTGGGACAGCAAAGCTCAGCATGCTACTTTTTGGTTTGAAAAGAATATGTATTTCTGAAATGTGGACAAATAATTTTAAAGCCTTTCTCTGCATAGTAGTAACGGGTTACTGTGGAAAATCCATGTCTTATGTATGTGAATAAGTGTCCCAAAATGTTTGTTTAAAAATCACAAAAAAGCAGTTTCATAAGATAGTAAGAGAAATTATCTAGAAATTGAGAAAACAGATGCCTGTGAAACTTTCACTGCTATGAAACTTTTACACTATCATGCTCTGTGCAAGCCAATAACTTAGTCCTATTAAAATTTAGCTAGTTTGGGGGTAAACTATAGGTAAAGTGTGGGTATTACAAGGAAAGACAAAATAAAGATACCTTGAAGTCTGTGACAAAGTAACTATTCCTCAGAAAGAATGCAAGGTAAAATAATATTCAGCTTCATAACTAAGTTTTCGGCCGTGGAACAGTCAAAGACCTTTCCAGTTCTGTGCCAAATTCTTTTTTCAAAGAAACCAGAAGGAAATGAGTTATCCTCAGACTACACAGCTCATATAAACACAAATTGGAAAAAGCATATCGTTAAAAGTACTGACTAGATTATTCACAAGGTATTGATGTAGCTAAGAATACCTGGGATGAGGATGGGGACAAAACACATTAAAAAAAGGTCCTTCAAGAAGGTGGGATACTTGTTTTGACTACAGGAAGACTAGAAGTGAATCATGGAAGAGGGAGATAGGAGTTGGAAGAAAAGCAGACCAAGAATGCAAAGACAGGATATACTGGATATGTAGAACCCTAAGCTGCTGCCTGACAGGAAGTACTTGACAAAAAACTAGAGTGAGGCAGGAAGCAGTAGATTAAAGCAGAATATAGGTTGATACTATCATGCACTTCATCTGGCAGGGTGGGAAAATAGTAGAGGAATTTAAACTTGCAAGCAGCAGGTCTACTTTGGGGTGCACAGTGGCAGGGGTGATTGAACAAAGATCATTTAGGTAGCGCTGATGCCTGTGCAGGAAATGAACCGATGCTGATGGCCGCAGTTCTGAATATAACAGCAGTGGTTACGGTGAGCACTGTAGATGCATTTAAGAAATATTTATGACAGATGACTAGCAGGCCCTGGTACTAGGTTTGATGTGGAAGAGAACGAAAATGGGGGAAAAGAGCAACCACGGTGACTCTTGGGCTTCTGGTTTTGATGAGCAAGTCGATGGTGAGGTCCCAAAACAGCACAGAACGAGAAAGCAGGCAAACAGTGACGAGGTTAGTGTGCCTGTGCCTAGCGAACGAGGCAAGCAGCTTGATGTTGGAGGCAGAACTGCAGGAAAGGGACTCGAGCTACGTATAAAATCAATGAGTGGTTGCAAATCATGACCGTGGATGCTATTGCTGAGCGAGGGCATCGGGCAGGAGAGAGAATAATAACCTGAGGATGAACTCAGGGGAAGAGAAAGAAGAGAAAAGTCTATGACAGAGACAGAGAGAGTAGTGACAGAGTCCTTTGGAGGACATGGTGCCATGGAAACCGGAGACACCAAACCCTCAGAAGGAGGAGATGATCAGGAGGGTCAAACACATAGATGTGGCAAAGAAACCAAGAACCTATTTGCATTTTGCAATCTGGCAATCATTCTTAGTTCCCCGGGGAAGCAAAAACAAGCAGTAGATGGTGGGAACTGTAAAGCAGGGACAAAGAAACACCCAAACTCTGCACACATCAGGTTCTTGTGAGATGTAAATGAGACGAGAAAGACAGGAGAGAATGAAGGGAGAGAGACAGGATCAGAGGAAGGACAGGACGCTCGGGGTAGGAGAAACAGGAGTATCCTCTCACACCGGTGTCGGCCAGCCCAGACTACTCCCTTCCTGCTCCCTTTGTCTTTTCTTTTCCCTGCCACTTTCACATCCGAGGAGATTTCTGGGCAATTTGCCATGGTGTTAGGATGGCAGCCTCTTTAGGAAGCAAACCATGGGATAAGATGGAGTCAGAGTCACCATTTTCTTATTAAATTTTGTAAGGAAATCAGACAAAAAAATAATTCATTTCTTAAGTAATTACTGTCTTTCAAAAAGATCTCTTCTTTCCATCCTGTTTAAGCCCTGCACATCTTAGTGTATCTTATAATTATGCTTCTGAGATAGGTGTACATTGTAAGACACCTAACATAAGATCTGATTTATTAGTGAGTGGCCAGGGATTTAGATCAGTGGTTCCGCTGCCTGCTTCTCAAGCGCAAGGTCCCGAGTTCGATCCCTGGTACCAAAAAGTAGAATAAAATAAAATAAAGGTGATACAATTATTGACTCCAGTACTTTT